TGAGTATTGATTTTGTAGCACGTTTGAAATTTTAATTGTTTTCAGCACATTTACTCTAGTCTGACGACGACACGGGGAACCGACGTCGAAAATTTACTCAATAAAGTTTTCTCCCTTTCCCAAAGAACGTTTTGATTTCAACATATATATATATATATATATATATATATATTTATATATGTGCTGTGCGGCTGCTGGTTGGGCTCGAGAGAGAGCCCTTAAGGTAAAACGGAACGAGTGAGTTCCGTATGAACGATCGGTGAGCGCCCCCTAACATTGTATTTCCCGATCGAAAACCGACAGGGCAACGGGCTCGTGGCCCGGTGAGTAGAGGCGTGGACTTCTAAACCAACAGGTCGCGAGTTTGAGGCTCGGGTGTTCCACACTTCGGGCTTGGGTATGGCTGGCTGACGACGGCTAATAAGCCAAAAATGGCCATTCCAGTCTCCCTTGTCTTTGTTGGTAATATCATTCTGCCTATATATCATGCGCCGCTGTGCGGCTGCTGGTTGGGCTCGAGAGAGAGCCCTTAAGGCAAAACGGAACAAGTGAGTTCCGTATGCACGATCGGTGAGCGCCCCCTAACATATATATTGAAAAATGGGCATCTCGATTAATTTTGAATAGATAAGGTTCTTCGCGGACAAACTAATCTTTATCGCGTAAATTTCCGAGATTTCTCCCTCAGCTCGTTGTCCGACTTCTGGAATGCCAGCTTTTCAATATATGCGTATGAATTTTGAGCACAGTATTTTGCTTTAGCTTGGAAATGGAAAAATGTGCAATTCGCGAAAGTCTGACGCGAGAACAGTTATTTTTCCTACAGCGCTGTCAAATTAACAGGACTTTTCCGAAGTTCGTGTGGATATAGCTTGCGATAAGGTCAAAACAATACTATCAAATTGCGATCCGTTATGGCCTACAGATGCTTGGACCATTCATAACTGACGCGCATTACCAACCTCGTAAATCCACAGAACAGAAACAACAACACATGCAATTATGCATCGACCGATTTCCATTCCAGGTATTTCGGACTCTGCAGGAGGCTATCACGCAGGTCCCCGAACTAGAGCGACTTAGTGTTTTGGACAAAAAAATTGGATGACGATTTAAAGAATCACAATGATTCTACATCCTTAAAAAAATGTCATAAAATTATCATCACGGGTACTGAGAACGTACTGACGTACAATCCATCCGACTCTAACTACTTGAACCTCCTTGCCAGCTTCGAATCAATTATAACTCCGGCAGGCCTTACAGACGAAGAACAATTTAAAGCTCGCAACAGTACAGCACAGGCCTTGAAAAACAGAAACATGCTCTCAACGTTGTCTGACGATGAAAAGAAAATACTAAATTCACTTAGAGCTGATGAAAACATCATCATTCTGTACACTGACAAAGAAGGCACCGCCACCATAATGAACAAGACAGACTACACAGATGATGACATTGCTAAAGGACGAATCTCCCTACGAACTCCTGAAGGCGGGCCCTACAAAAACAAAGAATTCATACATCGAAAAAACACCAAAGCGCCGTACAGAAAAGAAATTTATCTCGGGAGTTCTGCCCAAATCCTTAAAACGTGACGAACCCAGAATTACCAAGATGTGTGGACTTCCCAGAATCCACAGAATGGGCATTCAACTGCGACCGATAGTCTCCTTAATCGGTGCACCAAACTACAGAATTTCTAAGTGGCTATTTCACCATCTACATCCACTTACAAAATTCGAGAACTGCATTGAAGATTCAAATGAATTTCTTGACAAACCAAAAGGAATGACTATTGCAACCGAAGAGATAATGGTTTCATTCGATGTAGTCTCTCCCTTCACCTCGATTCCAATAGATTTAACGAGACGCTGCACCGAAGAACTCCGTCAGGCCTACACCACTGATGTGCCTGCCGATGCTCTACTCCCACTACGTGATTTTTGTCTGGAAACCAACTTTTCTTTCGCCAAATAATGTTGTCGGCAACCGAAAGGTGCTCGTATGAGTTCGCCTATATTTGGCTTTCTAGAGGAATCCATAATACAGAAACTGGAACCTACAGCCCTTCCTGAAATTAACCCAAAATTATGGCTGCGCTATGTTGATGACAAATTTGTCACTTTCAAGAAAAACCAATTAGATCAGCTCCACACGAATCTTAACTCCACACTCCCAGATATCAAGTTCACGTTCGAAACGGAGATTAATGGACTACTCCCATTTCTGAATGTCCTTGTACGCCGAAAAACTGATGGATCCCTTTACCCTTCAGTTTACCGCAAAAAAACATATTCAGGGGTCATCCCACATTTAAGGGGTAACCTCCCCGCCTCTCACAAGAGGAGTACCGTCTACAGTCTGCTAAACCGAGTTAAAACACACTGCTCCGATGAAACATATGTATCCTTATTGCGGAATAGAAGGATCTCCTAGGAGGTATCAGCCACGCAATGTTTCATAGGCGGAAGTGCTAGCGTACATGGTTATGGCACATCTAAAGAAAACTGCGGATGAGCCAATAATGCTCGTAGTTATTAGCTAAAAGATCGGAATAATTCTCTGGTTGGCTATACCTCTGAAGACGTACTTTCCTATAAAAGTTAGGTAAATTATGCACACCTATTCTAAGAAATATGATACAATTTTTACAAACACCAGAGATTAGTTGGAAGGACAAAAATACTTTACTGGAGACTTTCGTTTAGTGTCGTGCCCACAGACGACTTGACAGACTTAACCAAGAACCAATATAATTAATCGCTTCAGTGGACTAGTAGTCATCTTTGATGCGACCTAAATTAAGCAACCCGTTTTGCCGAAAGGCATGTTTCAAGGCTTCAGGCGATCTTTCATGCGTGCATCCAGTCACGCTGACCAAAGCCCGGAATACAACGGGAGAAAACGACGTACACGTAGGATGGGGGGTAATAATAATTCAGTTGTGGCTGGCGTGTCCATACAGTACAAGGGAGGATCAGTAGAAAGACTGTTCTTCCAATGTCATTGGTTTAGACCTCCGAAAGTGACTCGCGGGAACTCTGTTTTCTAGCCTGATGTTCCCGTAACTCCTGTTTCCACTCCTTTAAGCGAGACCACTGACGCTCTCGACGGGTGCGTGTGGCCAACCATGCACGATGCTCGATCGTGCTGAGGTTGTCGAAGTAGGTCAGGCGCTCTTCTTCGTCAAGGAGTTCGCGCAGTTTGCTCTTTACTTCGTGGAGTACCATTTTGCGTCGGATCCTTGAGTTCTCCCGTCGCCAAACTTGCTCACGGGTGGCAGCGAATTCGGTGTAAAGTTCTTCCACTCGCGCCTTCTCCTGTGCTAGAATGGTCGAGTCAGCAGTGGTTTTAGACACAAAATTGGCGACTTCTGTCTCCAGGGTCTTTTCGGTAGGCTTGAGTCTCTCTGAGAGCTCCTGAAAGGCATCCAGAGTTTAGACGTGAAGCCATGATACGAAAAACAAGAGGCTCGACTTCTTTGTTTCGAGGCAGAACATTCATAGGACGGGTGAATGTTCGAATTTGACCTGCACTTGCTACTCCAAGACATTGCGATCAGTTGTAATTTACGGTCTTATAAAGGATGCTAATTAGGATGACATGAAGACCTACTGAAAGTTAACCCGAGAACAATATAGATGAAAGAGGGGGTTGCCGTGTTTTTGGAAAGGTGGCACGCAAACTCTCATTACCATTGCTATATTTGCCTGACCTTTTCGAGAAGCAGCTACATACAGTCAGTGACGGATCTGATGAAATGTTGGCAAAAATTCTGGAATGCATCTTCGATTAGGGAGGATTACTAAGGCGAGCTGTAACGTCCACTATTATTTGACATAATCCCATGATATATCGGACTCGCCAGTATATTGACTTCTGGATGCACTTTTTTCAGACCTCCTGTAAAGACCGCACTCGGGAAAAATAACTACTTAGGCAGTATGGATTTTTCACATCAGTTTTTGATGCTGTCATAAATTCAAATAGATTTTATGGAAAACGCGGGCAAAAACATTCTTTCTTCTACTCGATGGGTATCAAGTCACGTCGTCTTCGCACACTATACTCAAAGGAAGAATATATTTAAGTTTGGAAAAAGGCTTCCGATTCCCGAAATAATTTCAGCTAGATCAGCCAGATCAGCAGCATTAGCATTTTATGATTTCAGTCTACGAGGTGTACACTTTCCGCATAAGGAAAATCATAAGTTCTTCACCATACATTCCCTCGTGTCCTTAAGAAGATAGCATTTAGATCTCATGAGACTATGCAATGGAAGCAGACCATGTTCAAGACATCATAAGGCGTATTAATAAAAGAACAGGTATGATGTATGAGTGGACATTGCACGGTCAAAGAAAATCCAACAATTGGGAACTTTTTAAAAGCCTAAATATGTCCTTTCTCCGAGTATAAAGATGCGAAGACGACGTAATTTGCTACCAGATGAGTAGAAGAATATTTTTGCGCACGTTTTCTATAAAATATATTTGAATTTATAAGGCCATAAAAATCAACGCAAAAATTCATACCACTAAAGTGGACATTTTTTTACCGAGTGCGATTTCTACAGGAAGTCGAAAAGAGTTGTACTCAAAAGCCAACATCATGGCGACTCTGATATGTCATGTGATAGTGCCGCATAATTATCAGCGTTACAACCTCGTCTACGTAATTCTTCCCAATCGAAAACGCATTTCAGAATTTCGGCTAACATTTCATGAGATCGGTCACTGACTGTAGGTCATGAAAAACAAACAGATGGATAGAATTTACGTTATTGCAAAGGATTTCTGTAGCATGTGCCGTTGATGGGGGCGGATACTAAGTCCCAATTAGTCTGGCCTCTCTGATTAGTCACTGTATTCATCCGCTCCGACGAGGTGTTGACGTTCTAAGCAAGAGTACGAGGCGTAGAGTAGCCGATGAAACCGGCAGAATTCTGTCAAAGGCTTCTACGTGCTTGGTAGCACGACCCCGTTTTCGACCGAGAACACACGCCGCTGACAGACAATGTGCCACTACAAGTGCCAAAAGGCGAAATATGATGGATAGGCGTCAGTAATGAAATAAACTTGATCAGCAAGTCTACGCAATGGCAAACAATCATTTATTCACCATAAGGCCTTAATTATTCGTATATGGCATGACGGCGATGAGTGAAAAAATCGGCCGTGTCCAAATCCTGTCGGTCATCCGTCTGAAAATCTCGCTCAACTATGCTGTACTGTCCTACTGTACTGCGTTTTCAGACAGTCACCATTTTTTCCCCATTCATACGGGTATACTTACCTGTTTCAGTGCAGAAACTCAACTAATTGCCTTTTATTCAATAAACTGCTAACGGATGGCACCCTCAAGGCGATGACAGTAAATTTCACAGAAAGATGGAAAGTTGCGCCAATTTACAATTCGAAGGGATGCGTCTTTGTTTACCTTGGGTTGCTGTGTTTAAAGCTTTGTTAGGTATATCCATCTAAGGGTAAGAGTACATAATCTCTATCATTCCAAAGATCTGGTGATAGATAATCATAATCGCATGTTTGCCCAGATTAGCTCAATGAACTCCCAATGGGAACCATTTGTAGAAGTAATAGAGAGGCGCACATTTGAAATTAAGTGAAAACTCACTGTGTGTCAGAGAAAACTGTCTTTTATACTAACTTTCCTTGGCCACAATATTCAGGTATGGTAAGAACTATTCTGTGAACTTTCGAAATATTCTAGAGCAAGTCTACCCTGAGCACCTAATTAACCGAAGGATGCGCACGGGGTCCAGTCAAGGAGGACTTTCAGGAAATACCTCGAATTTCTCCAAGGTTGCGGAGACTTCGGACGGTTTTAAAAGAGGTGGTTCGCCAGGCCTCAGTTTCGCATCCTCAGGGCGTGTAGCGCAGGACTCGATCAGCTTTTTTATGCAGTTGAGCTAAAGATGACGAAGGAGAACTGTCAATAAATAGTATTTATAAGCCCAATCGTAAACAATCAAATGTTTTCTGAACACCTACGCACTGTCCGTCGAGCACAGGGAAGTCGCCGGGAGATTCCACTGCTTTCAGAACACAAGACAGTAAGTCATTCGCACGCTCGCTCAGAGCAAACCCAAGCAGTCTGAAAGTCGGGGCCAGGTGAGATAACGCAGCCACAGTATTCGAGACAGCTTCAGTTTTGGATGGGAGAGTGCGGTGGCGCTCAAGAGCCTCGGCCAGAGAAAGGCAACAGTATCCTAGCTGGAGACGTGGGCGAGTGACATCAAACCATGCATCGTAGTTCGGATTGCGAAGGTACGGTACTCGCCGAAAGTCCACCTAGCGTAAAAATCAAATACGAGGGGGTGCGTGACTGGTACGATAACTCGACAGTCAACAAATGACGCCTGCAAATAATTGTTTAATATGTTCGTTGTCGACATAACTCCTGGGCAATTTCTTCTGATTAAATGTAACAGTAGCTTAACACCAGGTAGTCTCTTTACGATTTTCAACTCGTCTAAAGACTGTCAAGACACAATAATCATGATCCTCGAGATTATAAGAGCGTTGGATAACTCGTTCCTCTGGGTGGATGGTCAGGCTGAAATGGTCCCTCCTTTATGCGGTATTACGGCAGTTCACCGACCTGGGATCCGAATAAAGGAAGGACCGGCATGGATGTGACACACCTAGACGGGATTGATAATTGCTTGTTTGCTGCGCCCACGATCACCCCACTCGTAATCATTTTGGTCTACATTAAGAACTAAGTGCATGCTGGTGATGCGTAAGTGACATTTATTGTAATAAAAATCAGAAGTGGCTTATTATTACCCTGGCACATATTTTTTCTTATTTATTTTAAGGAGATAGCAATTACGATATAATAAACCAATCAGTAGTTTGCAAACTTCGCACCGGTCATTAGAGCTGCAGACCACGGCTGGGAGCATATTTTGCTGAGTCACTGACGGCAAGGATGGAGGGCACGCACAGCGACGACAGACACTTAACAGTTGATCGTTGGGTCAGGTGGAAGCAAGCTATTCGGAAAACGGGTGCGATTCGAGGGCAGTGTCATTTTACTTCCTGTGAATGACAAGTACTCCTCCTTGTCTACGAAGGGGAATACTATAATACAACGATAAATAGTGGCTTCGGTTGACTTCAGGTGCCTGAATGTCAGCTCGGTCGGAGCCAGAAACAAAGACTATAAACAGTGAATGGTCGCGGATCCAAAGACTTAGTGTGCAACTGGAGAACCATTCACACATTCCAATACTTAGCACTCTGTAGTAGAACTTGCAAAGCTTTTGCCTATGGATCCTCAAATGGCCAAATTGTTCAGCCGAGCTGCGAAATCACATGAAGAAGAATGTAGCTGTTTTACTGGTGAAAATTAGAACTGCCCCTCATTACGGCAACATCACGCACTTTCCCTAACGAACACAATCCAAGTGAGGAAATACCGACAGAAACAAGTGAAAGCCCTATTGGCCGCTGCTAATCAGCAACGAAAATAGGCAAATGGAGGCTATCCCCAACAGACAAGAAAGTCGGCAAAGCAAACGACAGGCTGAGAGCCTGCGGTTCAATAGTAGGCCATTAACTTGATGATCAACTGGGTCGGGGTTCGAACCTGGGATCTGCACCCACTGTGTTCCTTTACCGCTGTCTGGCGACGGCAGATAAATGAGGGATTTCACTAACGTTTGTCAACGATATTTCGTAGTTATTGACTGAACGTCGATTTGGTGACGCCACTTAACAGCATACGGGGCTTTAGGTCAATCTGCCACAGCAAAAATGAACATGCATTTTCGTCCCGTAATTAAGTAAGACCTGTGGATGCCATCTTCATATGATCTAGGGAATACTTCAGTATATTCAGCGGAACGCTACTGTGGCTTAAGTCAAAATCATTTTATGTAAATGTTCGCTACTTCAAAACAGTCGAAATGTCTTGCTATGTTAAAGACACCCTGGGAGTACCTACCTCTCCGCGCCAAGCTTCTGCGGTCGGAAGTACTGGTCACTTTTATCGGGGACTTATCAAGAGAAATGAGTACCTAAAACACTATTGAAGGCGCCGTAACGAAGTTATACAGGCGTTATCACCGAAATCCAGAAAAGATACGCTAGGAACCAAGCTAAGTCCTCTAGATCCCTTTGTGAGAATTTTTGAGACTCTAAACTCCTATGTCAAATTGCCTTAAAAAATAATTTATGGTAGTAAAAAGGCAAGACTAAAGTAAAATTATTTCCGTGAAAGCCGTTCGAAGTCAAAATGCCTGATTCTGACTAGAAGTCCGGTCTATGGCCAGCGGGTTAAAAATAAAAACAGATCGGTCGTTTCTACTATCTTAGAAATGTTATTTCAAAAAAGTAAACCAACTCAAAGTGAACGCATCACAAATGCGGAAGGTAAGCTGGGTTCGTCGAGACTAAGACTGTGGAACGTTTTGTACTAGGGGACTCACCTAAGTTGAAAATAGCTGAACCACGTTCAGAGAAGGAGACCAGCCCGTCAAAAGGTTTTAGAATAAGGGACAAAAAGTTCATAAAAGTCCGATGCTTTCTACAAAAGACACGTGCTAATCCGTATCTTTCAATGGTTAATTCTTGGATTTATAAAAACAATGGAGGAACATCCTACTCTTTGTCGTTCATACTGATTATAAGAACTTTCGCTCGAGCTATAAAACATGGAGTGTTTCATAATTCTTTTCAAAAAATGGCCTCAACCGCTTTAACAAGCATGCGACCGATATATGGACATCCGAAATGCGAGGCAAAGTGGGGAAGAAGACTTCTTTTCGTACGGTCCAAACTGGTTCCCCAGTCCTTATTCAGGCATGCAGAAAATTTACAGCATGAAGTTAAATTTAGACAATTTCTAACAAATCGCCCTATGAGTGGCTAGACTGAGCTAAAGGCAGCCGCTGCGACAACTGGTTTGTTTGTAAAGACAAGCAAGACTGTCTTGTCTAAAAAAGGGGGTAGAGCCCGAAAAGTTTTGAGCGTACCTCTCTTTGCCTTACAGGCAGGGACTTCGAGCCGACTGCAACTGAGAAAGTGAATTCTGTAAACGTCTTGCCACCAGATCCTCAAGAGTGCAGTATCCACTACCCCCGTTTGATTATTTCGTTACTCCCTATTTTGTAGTCGAGACGTATTCCTCATCTCTTTGTCCACCCCTCACACAATACAAAGTAACCACTCTAACACTCTTCCTTTTACCAGATACACGGGCCTTGCTTGAACTATTTCGTGTGAGTAACGAACCATGCCATCGAGATACCTGATTCAGAACTACAGAACGACTCTACGACTGGGGTCAATTTGGAAGGAGCCACATCTTCAGAGTCCATTACAGGAGGAAGCCCAAGACAGGGAGGAGGCTCGTCTGCAACAGTCTGGCTTCTGAGAGCAGTTAGCTCCAAATAGAGCGAATGGGATCGCGAATGGGCAACCATCCAGACTGGCAACGGAAAATTCACCACGAATGGAAAAGGAACGCCTCGCTCTACAGAGTCATGTGGGGCACCCGCGGCTGTTTTGACAACCACTTACGACCCCAGCTGAAATTAGGAGGGTCGACCACCGTTGAACTGCCTCCGAAAATAAAAGATGGTCGACCGTCTTGTGGAACAGTGCAGATCTTTGCGAAGTATCCACTCACACCTGCAAACAAAATTGTTGCTAGAAGTCACCGACAACTCGTTGACGCCAAGGTTCTCAGCTTAGCATTCATGCAAATTAAAGCTTGTGTTGCTAATTTTAGTCCTTGATGTGCAGAGTCGAAGTATGTCCATTTGATGTGGCTTGTTCTCGCAACAGGGCCTTATTACCGAGACCCCACAGAATGTTGTGGGAGCAGTGAAGTTGTTCCACGTAAGTCGTAAATCTGAAGGTGCAGTGGCGAGTTGTGCGGAAGCTAGTTCCCGGTCTTTAATCAATTCACTGCCCTTCCCATTAGGCTTTTGCATTATGGGCGTATTCATTTACACTTAAACTAAAGACGTCATATGATAAGATGATCTGTGTTTGCATAGAGCGAAGTCGGCAGGGGACCAACGATCATTGAAATGCAATCTAAGGTTGAATCAAATGGGACTACCTCCTCGTTTTCGTCCAGCTCTTGTATAGGGTCTTCTTGTTGCTTCTCTAAGATGTCATCCGATTGTAGGGCTAACGATATGGTTTCAGCCCAATGACAGAGAAGGTATGGTCGAAGAGGATTTTCCTCCAGATATGACTGAAGGCAGAGTTCCCAGATTATGCTCAGAGCCGACTTCAGATCCCTCGTTTCCAAGAATCGGTCAAGCAATAAATTTGCAGACACTTCATCTAGAAATACGCACGTATCGGACTTCTGTCTAGTTAAAAATCGCGCAAACTAACACGACGACGCAAAATGTTAAGCAGGCGGGTTTCCTCTCTATGATGCATGTACACACGGACCACAGCGTGTGATGTTGACGGCAAGACACGGAGTGCACTTTGCGTTTTTCCGAACCTTTAGGGTTAATTTTTCGTTAAATGGCTTACTTGAAAATTATTTTTTCCAGGAAATCCAGAAAAGTGCTATCAGCCAGTTGAACTTTGTTCACGAACTGGGAGATGAGTATATCCGAGTAAACTTACGACGTCGTAATCAAATGGAGTAACTGGTATGTTATTTGATAGTCTGTGTAGTATCTGCGTGCCAAGGTCAGCTGCAAGCATGAACAAAAAGATAGGATATACAGGCAGAATGTGTGTTGAAAGCCGGTGTGTTCAGACGTGAAGCCCATAGTTCTTCACATTGGTAAGCGTTGGACAAAATCCCCCTTTTAAAGACTTAGCAGTTGAGAGAAGTAATTATCTCACTCTGTCTTTCAAAACACCAAATCCTCCGGAAAACTGGTAAACACGCCCTCCGAGTAATCATCCGGACTTGAAGATCGCTCCAAACTTGTAGGTCAATATTCAAGTATAGTCCGCAAGTCAGTCGAGCAGCCAAAACTAAAAGTACAGAAATTCACACAACTCAAGGAATCATGAATATTTTACCGGCATTCTCATCAAAGACTAAAATGTACTTATAAGTAATTCTTAATGTTCGATGAGAATGCCGGTGTCTAGCTAAGGCCATAGCCTTAGCTAAACACTTAAGTACTCAACAGAACTCCAAGAACGGAAGTCTGGGATTTCGCTGTAAACCAGACGATATATGTAATAACACCCAAGAATAACAAATTATTGCGAAACTCATAAAAAATTGAGATTAGAAAGACGGAATAAAACCGCAAGAGCATGGAAAAGCCATGGAAATGAGAATAAAACAAGGACACCATATATAGCGTTGGCGAACACTTGAAATTGAGTTAACATGCTTTTCCCCGCAATTCCCCTAAGATTTTTTGTAATTTAGCATTAATTAGCCTTTTCAGCGTGATACATGCTGGCTTTTTTCATTATTTTTTGCTAGGACTATGATTATGCGTAAAACGTTTGGGCGCTGTTTACGTCGCACGCGCTTTCACATTGAAGAAATTACGCTGAAGGAACGCCGTCGAACAAAGCCTAAGTATTTGGCCGATGTCCAGATGGATAAGGCTTTGAGTGCTGGCACATCCTGCAACAAGTCCCTTGCCGTGTTCTACGAACAATTGCAGCGTCTATTCCAGACTTGTCTGCCGTCCGAGAAGGGGGCAATAGACCAACTACTAAACTGCCGCCAAGAAAACGCCGAAACGTATTGAAAATTTTTCGAGTTATCCTAGCAAAACTTACGACGCATACCCTTCATCGGCGGCTGAGCATCTAGCTAGGGTGGCACTGTATCACTTTAAGGGGGGCTTGGTTCCCAAGAAGTTTCTCATTAATTGCGGATCTAGTTGTCTGGCGATTTGGACGATGTCAATTAACGAGCTCCCCGCATACTTTATATAGACCCTAGTGTGCCAGATAACCGACCTTCCATAAAATCGTGGACGCACACGCCTGGTTATCGGCAGCAGAGAGAACCTCGTCGGCAGGCTGGACACCCACGAGCGACGCAACAGTTTAATCATCGCGGCCGAGAAACCACATACCGCCCCTCGGACCAGTGGCCAAAGGACAAGGCGTTCGGTCAACGCCGAAAAGAGCGGACTTCCTCCTCTCTTAAGGCTAAAATTAGAGCGGCTAGACATATTATTTCAGTTTGCACTGATAATTTACATAATAGCCCCAGTTTTATTCAATAGAATAGGTTTATTATAGCGCCCCTTAGGCACTGTCAGTCGCCTATGATACAGATCCACGCCATCCCCATTAAAGTCATCGTCGATGCGAATACAGCAATTTCTTTATTTACACAAGATTGTCTTTGCCATAAATGAATGGGTCTTCTCGGCAGCAACGATGTATTATATCGTATGCTAACGACTGACGTCACAGCTTTGTTTATCGAAGGTACGGTCCAACTTCCACTGCCTTCTTGCAAAATACTAAAGATCCCGCAATCGCCATTACAGCGAATGTGGCATAGAATGACAGTTCGGTCGTCGATTCCGACGATGTTAATCGTGTCCTCCAAAACAAGATAAGGCCGGGAGGGTTAGTTGCGCGTGACTGCGTCCAAAGTGGATGTAGAGTTGCGCAGCATCTACCGAACTCTCTCTTCTCCACTACCCATCTGGATCAGATGTCAAAACGGAGTTAAAAAGGCCGCAGATGGGAGAGAGACAAGTGGATGGCACGGTCGAGCCTGCAACTAGCGTTCCACTCCACACCCCCTGGTCCATATTGCAAATGACCAGGTTTGTGACCAACAACAACACCCCAACAGGGGTCAGAAGGGTTAGCATGATAACTGGGCAGTCATGTCCACCACCTGTATACACAGCGGGAATTCAAACGCATCCACCGGCAGGGAACCAGGGGTCAGGGGACTGTCAGCGCATAAGAGACTGCGAAGACAATGGTTGGCTGATATTGGCATAGCACGCGCCTTCGGATCTCTTGACGTCACTCTCCTTAGAATAGAAGTAAATTCTTGAAATAAACTTGTCCATTCCGACTGCATATTTATAACAGTAATAATAATAATCACTGCACTTAATGCCAGCTTACAGGCATTGTCAGAGAAGCGTCAAACACAAATCCGGCCAGCAGTGAAAGCAACTCCCGTCGGAAAGGAGTTTAAAATAAAGTTAGTGGTAGTTTTTTAAGTTTTGGAGGGTTTGTCGGAAGTATTGTAGTCGACAAGATAAAGATTCCCAATCAAAAGTCAGGGAAGACGGTTTGAGTTGGACAAACTTTACTGCTTGGAAAGCGTGTACACAAAGGCTGTGTGGGCAGTCGCCGCAAGCGTGCTCCAAGCGAGCTGTTGTCTGTGTCCGCCTTCGAAGTGTTGTGTTAGCGCGTGTGTGTGCCCTTCGTTGTCTCCACTCGCCAGCCAATCAGAGTGGGGGCAGCGTTGATTGGCTTCGAGCACTCGCGCATCCCATCAGCGCATCGACAAGGAGTGTGAGGCGGACAGGAGGGTAGCGTGACAAAGGCGGAGAGCGAGGAGACGCGAACTGCTACAGTACCCCCGGCTAGACCGAAGGTGGCGCGTAGCGATACCGAAGGAACTGTTTATGTCTAAAAAACATGAGTAACGAAACGGTCAGGAAAGTGAACATGGCGTCCACTACGGGTGATATATACAGGGGGCACAGGATTAGAGTGAGTATGGCTCGCGGTTACAGTGTTGTTTGTTGATGAAGGGGTAGTTGCAGTTGGGAGTTGTGGACATGAGGGCAGAGGAAGTATACGGGACGGTGGAATAGAGGGTCGGAGAGGCGGAGCAGGGGGTAGGGGACCATAGGGCTCATCCGTAGGAGTGTCCGAGATGGCAGCTTTGAGACGGTCCACGCTCACGACCTCCTCGCGAGTGCCGCGTTGGATGCGGAAGTTCTTCGTCCCACGAGAGATAACTCGGAAGGGGCCACCGTAGGGTGGTTCCAGGGGCCGGCGGACTCGATCACATCGGAGATAGACGTGAGAGCACGTTGCCAAGTCCTTTTCGAGATAAGACGGAGAGGCGGAGGACCTGGGAGGAACCGGAGAAAGTGTCCGCAGGAATTGCCGGAGGCGATGCAGGAGGTTGGTGGGATCCTTAACTGCAACTCGCGGGGTTGGCGAGATCATCTGACCGGGAAGTCGGACGGTGGCACCGAACACGAGTTCAGCGGCAGAACAATCAAGGTCCGACTTGAGGGAGGAGCGAATGCCCAAGAGGACTAGGGGGAGATGGTCTGTCCAGTTCTCCGGATCGTCTGCGGCGCGTAGGGAGGCCTTCAGCTGACGGTGAAACCGCTCGACCATCCCGTTGGCTGCCGGATGATAGGCTGTAGTGCGGATGCGAGTACAGCCTAAAAAGGAGATTAAAGACTGGAAGAGGTGAGATTCAAATTGGGCACCACGATCAGTCGTGATAATGGAGGGAGCACCGAAAATGGCAACCCAACGACTGAGGAAAGCCTTGACGACCGTTGGAGCTGCGACATCAGGCAGTGGAATAGCTTCCGGCCACCGGGTGAATCGATCCACGCAGGTAAGGAGATAGGAGCAGCCATTGGACAGAGGCAGGGGGCCTACGATGTCCAGGTGGATATGACTGAACCGTGCGTCCGGAGTAGGCAAGGTGCCAATGGGAGTTTTGTTGTGCCGTCGGACTTTATTCCGTTGACAGCCGAGACACGCCCGTGTCCATGCTTTCAGGTCCTTGTGCATTCCAGGCCAGACGAAGCGGTCGGAAACCAGCTTGTCGGTTGCTCGACTCCCAGGGTGAGACATACTGTGCAGGGAGGAGAAAACTTTGCGGCGGAGAGATGGTGGCACAAATGGACGATGAGATGGGGTGGATACGTCGCATAGAATAGTGCCGTTGCCAGTTGTCAGTGGTAGCTCCTGAAGATGGAGTCCGGAAACATCCTCATCACAGGGTGGACCGACACGGCGTTGTTCAGCGGCCATCTCAGCGAGGTCTATCCCCGGGTGAAAGCTGAAGATGAGCAATAGAGGGCCTTGAGAGTGCGTCAGCCACCTCATTCCGTGACCCGTCAATATGGCGGATGTCTGAAGTGAACTGCGGAATGTAGTCCAGGTGACGGATCTCCCGGGGGCTTAGCTTGTCAGAGTGAGAATGTATTGCAAATCTGAGTGGCTTATGATCAGTGAAAATTGTGAACTCTCGACCTTCGAGTAAATGCCGGAAGTGCCTTACGGCAAGATAAGCGGCGAGAAGTTCACGTCCGAATGTGCTGTAGCGGGTTTCGGCTTTGGATAGTTTCTTGGAGAAGAAAGCCAAAGGCACGGTAGAATCCGGCAGACTTTGTTGAAGGACCGCGCCAACAGCAACATTGGAGGCATCGACCATCAGATATGGGTGCATCAGCGTGAAAGTGAGTCAGGAGGGTGGCGTCAGCCAGAAGGGCTTTTACCTGCTCAAATGACGTGAGTGCTGCTGGTGTAAGTTCAAAGGTGCGCTTAGAACCTGAGAGGAGATTGGTCAGAGGTAGGATGGTGTCGGCACAGTTTGGGAGAAACCGGCGATAAAAGTTCACCATACCAAGAAACCGTTGCAACTGACGCTTCGAGGTAGGGGGTGGAAAGTCCCGAATGGCGGCAACCTTTGAGGGAAGAGGCCGAATGCCGTGGGAGTCGACCAGATGACTGAGAAATTCTAGGGAGGGCACACCGAAGACGCACTTTGACGGGTTAAGAACAACGCCAAATTGTTGAAGGCGGTCAAACACCGTTGCCAGATGCTCCATGTGTTCTTCGGCGGTGGAGCTGGCTACCAGAAGGTCGTCGATATAGGCGTAGACAAATGGTAGGCCGCGAAGCACTCTGTCTACAAACCTTTGGAAGGTCAGGGAGGCGTTGCGAAGTCCAAACGGCATGCGCAGGAACTCAAAGAGGCCAAAGGGGGTGGTAACGGCCGTCTTCGAAACGTCCTCCGGGGCTATGGGAATTTGGTGGAAAGCACGGACCAGATCGATCTTCGAGAATACAGACTTGCCGAATAGGGCACCGGCAAAATCCTGAAGATGTGGGACAGGGTAGCGGTCCGGGACAGTAACGTTGTTCAGGGCCCTGTAATCACCGCAGGGGCGCCAGTCACCAGTGGCGGCCTTTGGAACCATGTGGAGGGGTGAGGCCCATGGGCTTTCAGACTGACGGATGATGCCCATTTGAAGCATATGCTCGAATTCGGCCTTGGCGGCAGCAAGACGTGTAGGCGCGAGACGGCGGGGGCGAGAAAACACGGGAGGGCCAGTGGTCCGAATGTGGTGAACAACGTCATGTGGTGGAATAGAAACGTTGAAGTTGGGGCGAGTGAGGCCGGGGTATTTGGCGAGGAGTTGCCGAAATGGATTCTCGGGTTCATGGTCCAAGACGGCAAGATGACGGGAAGCGTCAGAGGAGGAGATACCCCGGACAGTGAGGTTGGTGGTCTTGTCGTGTAGACGTGACTGACGGCAGTCGACCAGAAGATCGAAAGCGGCGAGGAAATCTGCACCGAGAATTGCACAGGGGATGTCAGCAACGACAAGGGAAGAGACGCCGGAGACCGATGTCCAGAGAGAGGGAGCAGGTGCCAAATGTGGTAATCGGCGATGTGTTGACGGCCTGTAGGAAAAGACCGGGATTGGGGCACCGACGATCAGCTGGTGTGGGTGGAATGACACTTAGCTGGGCACCAGTGTCAACAAAGAAACGTCTGCCACTCCTGGTGTCGCGGACGTAAAATGTGTGACCAGGGTTAGAGCTGTCGGAAAGATTGGTTGCACTGACCTTCCGGCTGACCGGTTTTACCCGTGTGTTCTGCTTGAAAGTGAAGGAGCAAGGAGAGACGCAGCGACGATCTTTAGCGCCGAAAGTAGTGTGGTACCAGCAGGTGGCAGCTGCGTTTGGACTGGCTGAATGAGAAGACTGGACATGCGGGGTGGACGGCTGCGGTTGGCTCCGAGATGAGGCAGAAACTGTGGGCTTCTGGAGAGCGGCTATATCATCGGCCAGCTTGTTGAGCTCGATCTCTAACTGCGAAACGAGAGACGCAGGAGGATTTGAGGGAGTTGAGAGTGCTGAAATAGACGGCTTGGAAAAACCGTGCATCTCCATAAGCCGATCGGCCATTTGAGCAAGTTGCGTGGCCGAAAGAATGCCGAAGGCGGGTGCCAAAATATGCTGCACTTCCGGTGGAAAATTGTCCATGATCAACACCTGACTTTGTCGTAAATTAGGAAGAACGATTGCTGTTCGCAAAGGGGTCACCAATTGTCGGAAGTGGTGTAGTCGACAAGATAAAGATTCCCAATCAAAAGTCAGGGAAGACGGTTTGAGTTGGACAAACTTTACTGCTTGGAAAGCGTGTACACAAAGGCTGTGTGGGCAGTCGCCGCAAGCGTGCTCCAAGCAAGCTGTTGTCTGTGTCCGCCTTCGAGGTGTTGTGTTAGCGCGTGTGTGTGCCCTTCGTTGTCTCCACTCGCCAGCCAATCAGAGTGGGGGCAGCGTTGATTGGCTTCGAGCACTCGCGCATCCCATCAGCGCATCGACAAGGAGTGTGAGGCGGACAGGAGGGTAGCGTGACAAAGGCGGAGAGCGAGGAGACGCGAACTGCTACAGGTTCAGGAGAAAAAACTGCTGACCACAAAATGCGGACAGTCAAGGAGGGCAGGGGTAGCATTTTATTGAATATTATCCGTAGCCAATTCCTTTCATGAAGTTGGAACTGGCCCGAAAAGAAGCGCCAAAGAACGGTTGCCGCTGTTGACTAGAGAAATTTTCCCTGGTGAGACCGGCCATAGAAATCAGACACCATAAAGAACGTCGCTACGGTGTAGTCGATAGGTGGATTCAGCACCCAAAGTTTGTGTGTTTTTCTGAGTGCGAAAATCGAACAATTGTTCTCTTAAGCAACGGATAATTTTGCAGAACTTTCAGATTCCTGGGTAGTTTATTCAAATAACAATTGTATTTACAGAAATGAACCGACGATATTGAACGGTACGTGCCAGAAGAAATAAAAGATCACACAATGACTGTTACGTCGGCCTTAAAGTAGTGAGTTGGTTAAAGGTACGATTATCTAAAAGCCTAAATAGCAAAAATAGACTTTTTTGTAATCTACGAAACAATAAAGGTTCAGGGCCCGTAAGCCGGCAACGTTCCTGGTACGACAAATTCCGGTGTTCCGTGGTTTAAACTCTCTTGTTGAAAAAATGTTGAACGGATTCTATTTTCTTCCGCACAGTAGTATGCAAGAGAATAACTAAGAACGAACAGTATTCCAAGCCAGGTCTAACGTGCATGTTATAAAGGCGCATTCTAATATCGCCGGCTTTAAAGTTTTGTATGATAAACCCGGTTGTTCTACGTGCCTTGAAGACTATCAGGACGCAGTGCTTCGATGGACTGAGACTCCTGGAGTATGATACACCCAGATCCCTAATAACCCCAGGCACATTTATGGCGTGACCGTCAATGCTTAGGTGAGGTTGGCGGTCGTCACAAACCACTATGACTGAACATTTATGCCAAGAAATAGAAAGGCGCCATGTGCGGCACCAATGGGCGAAAACCTGTAGGTCGATCTACAGGAGCTCAAGCACGATGTCACGATCTGCCAGCTTGTACCCTTATGCAACTTTCAGATCATCAGTATGCATTAAGGGCTTACCGTTTTGAAATAAATCTGGTACATCGTTAACAAAAAGGCCAAATAATAGCGAGTCGAGTACAGTACTCTAAATGATTCCTTTTCTAACACATGTGGGGTTGGGGATAGCATTGGAAATTCTAAATCGTTGTGTACGAGCGCCGAGGTAAGAGGATATAACATTCAGCAGTTTGCCACCTATGCCGAAAGCGGACGGTTTCAAGAGAATAAGAGGATAGTCAACACGATCAGAAGCCTTAGTGAAATAGAAATAGTCTGTGTAAAGTGCAAAGCCACTGTCCCTAGATCGGAGAACATGATCAAAGAAAGAGAGTTGGCAGGTGTCACAAGACAGAGCATTAAGGAATCCATGCTGAGGAACACTCAGTAGGCTATTCTCTGTTTAGTGACACATCGTTTTGCCTTTGATCAATGTCTATAGGATCCGCGAAACAGCGGGGAGGGTGTTTTTTGGCCAAAAGTCATCAAATGACGTAGATTGGCCATGCTTAGGAATGGGCAAAATGTGTGATTTCTTCCACAAGGTAGAATGAGTTTCACTTTCACGAGCGAGATTAAATAACGCGCATAAGAAGGATGGGAAAATCCTATTTGCGTCGGCTTCTAAAATGCTTACTGGGACACCATCAGTTCCAGGGCTATGAGATTCAAGAAAACCGCAAATCGCAACAGTAACATCCCACAGAATGAAAGTCATAGTTTCGAGAACCGTCCCGGTTAATGCCTGGATGGTCGGAAGCGGAGTGGTCGAGTCTTCAATAAACGTTTAAGACAGAAAAGCATTGAAGCTATCAGCGGTTAGCTGGGCATCAGCTCTAGGGTTCCCAAAAGCGTCTCGGAGGGTCGGTTGATGGGTCTTTCTGTGAGTTCGTACTTTTCGGGAGAAAAGTTTTGAGACATTTAACGAACGATTTTCAGTGGATTGGACCCCTTCTGCTAGCCGTCTATTATCCGTAAAATCTCTTAGCCCGCTCAAAAATATCACAAATCAAGGGCAGAACGGAAACGTCGTCTGAAGATGGAATTGTGGAGAAACGTTGCGCATCCTGCGGCGAAATGGTAAGGGTAGGAAAACCTCATTCCCGACATTATTTTCTTACGGGGGACAAAATGAGAAATAAGCGAATCCGAAATTTTGTGCAGTTTAGCAGCGCAAACATCTATTTCCGAACTTAGTAAGACATCAGTTCAATGGTAGGAATTAAGGTGTGTTAATAGTTTGGTCGAGCGAGCTGATCGGAAATGGCGCGTTCCTTCCTAGTCAATAGTGCGTGTATCAAAAGTTCGTCTTAAGTCAAAAACAGTCTCAAAGGGCATTATAATAGCTTAAATTGGAGAAAGACCGAGTTATACATTATGGAGATTCATGCGTCGTGGTAAGTGGTTTTGGGATCAAAAATATTCTAGAGTAGTCACTGACGCTGGGGAATGTTGATCTCGGCCGAAGGTAGAATCGGCTGCGAGTAGCGATATTTAGTATTCGCTTAATTCGCAGATCATGAGTTGCTTAAATCCGGTCGCATCGTTTGTGTGTGATCCGACTGACTAATCAGAGTCAGTTGGACTGATAGCTGAAGATGGTGGATATGGATTATCTGCAGGAAACTTTCAGCGGTCAGTATTTTTCAAGGGTATCAAAAATTATGTTGCCTCAGCCACCATCTTGTCTTTACAAATATGATATTGCAGGTGAATTTATTTGCTGTCTTCTTTAGTCTTTCCGGCGGCTGATCTGTATACGCATATTGAAGGTATGTTAGAATTTATTTCTGAGAAGGTTTCGTGCCTGATAGGTCACTTAGGGAAAACTAGAGGAAAATAAAGAAGAGAATTTGTGTATTTCTGGTAGACTGTTGTAATTTTTCGTTCACTTTATGATTAAGTCTTTTTATGTTTGCAATTTCATGTTATGCCAGCGGCTACCACCACCAGATCCTTTTCGGTCCGAATTCCAAGCTAAAGAACTGACTTGAAAATGACCTTGACTTATTGAAAAAAAATGTGTGTATATTGAAATTTGTTAGACAATTCATGGTTTTGTTTCAAATTCTTTTAAGTTCTTAGTGCAACAGGAGCTTAATCATTATAGTTTTCTGGATTTTTGAATTTGTATGACGCCTGTGGAATTTCTAGTGTTCCGGAGGGACGGTTGTATTTTGTTACTTTACTCATCTTTAGTATATTCGTGTCATATGTAATTCCGAAAAAGAAATTGAGACGATTTTAAAGCCACCCGAATCAGGTATCGATTTCCTTATCACATGCGGGTAGTCCATTATACAACGAGACTGTAAACTAGCATTCATGCTTAACTACGCGCTCGTTCGGGCGATGCCTGTTGAATTCGAAGAGGATGCCGTTTGCATTGCTGTTTCGGCGTTATTTCCCCTACCATTGATTGACGCAGATGCTGCTCTTCCCTCGACTTCTACCACGACGCTTTTGGGTTTCAATAAAGGGTTTTCCTGGACTGTAATTTAAGAACTCCAAGTATTACTTGTTCGGCTGGAAACCCACATAATCTTACAATTCTCCGTGTAGATTGCTGGCTATTAAAAATTGGTATTTATTACTGTACTAGTGCACATCACTCTATTTAGCGTTTCACTCTTCGTTAGGTTCTAAGGGAAGTGTAATCGATCGCAGTGAATTTGTGCCGTCTGGGGTGTAAGTGTACACAGAGCACCACATAATTCACGGCCTAATCTCATTATGGAGAAGATAAAGGACTCCAGTAGGAGGCTTTTATTTAGTGAAAATGTTTGCTGGTGGTCAGAACTTCCTATACGCTGCCGGCCGTGGACCCGCCCACGCGCCCGTTCATCATGGTTTTGTGGGTGAGAATAGATAAGCGTCACGTGAGAGTCAGTCAACGTTAGCTAGGCCATCTGCTTTGGCGATGACCGGGTTTGTGGGCCACTGTTATTGGAAGTTCTAGATGCTGAATGCGAGCATTTTCCGGCTGCTCACCACTTCCGGCGCGGAGGAGGCGCCCGAGACAAAAAGCACGTGTGCGCTCAAGTCGCTACCTGCTCCTTCGCCTCGCCAACATTATGACTGTTTGTGCGTTCAGCCAGAAAATTTTATTATTGCATCTATCGTCCATCATTTATTTAATTAGCCGATTCCAGTTTGCGTATGTCCGACGATGGTGAACGTCTTGACCTCTCACAAATTCTCGTCAACATGGCTATCACCTCCCCCGCACAAGTGCTATCTATCATAAAAGACAGAGCTTTCTCTTCAAAAATTCGGAAGTTACATTCATTTTATGTCTCTTTAGGTTGATTATTCCGATAGATGTTTAACTGTTTGCTCAACTTTAATTGTCGTCGCTTTGTGTTGTTGACAACACCAATACTCGGACGCTCAACCCACCAGTTGTCATTATTATAAACACTGTGACCGCCGTACATTCCTTCGTTTTAGCTTCGCAACTCATCTGGGAATATTTTTTAGATTTACATCACCTACCCGGCCGCCCAATAAGACTATTGTTATTATTATCATTGCTATCTAAATGCGATTAATTTCC